GAAGGGCAGGAGAGGGGAAGAGAGGGGAAGGGAGGGGAAGAAAGGAAGACCCGGGAGGGCAGGGAGGAATGGGGAGGAGGGGGAGGTGAAGACAGAGGGAGACGGGGAGGGAGGGAGAGAAGGAGAGAAACCTATGTTTTGGGCCTCAAAATGTTGGGCAGGTGGAGGAATATGTCCTCATCATCTGATCAGCCTTAGATCCCCACTGACCTCTCCCCACCATCCTCAATCCTTTAATTAAGTGAGCTTTACACTTAGAAACCATCTAATTTCATTCTTCCATTTCACACATAACTTGAAGCCCAGAGAGGTTGAGTCTCTTGCCCAAGGTCACACAGGTCTCTACAGTCAGAAGTTAGGCCCAGCCCACCCAACTCTCTTCTTCCTTCTCTTCTTCACTGGGCTTATCTAAAGAATAAAACATCTTATCCAAACACTTAATGTACAGATGGGAACACTGAACCCAGGGGAGGCAAGGGACTCACCCAAGCTCTCCCAGAAGTTAGTAACTATATTAGTCCACTCTCATGCGGCTGTGAAGAAATACCCAAGACTGGGTAATTTATAAAGAAAAGAGGTTTCATTGACTCACAGTTTCACAGGCGGGGGAGGCCTCAGGAAACTTACAATCATGGTGGAAGGCACCTTCTCACAGGGTGGCAGGAGAGACAGTGAGTGCCAAGCAAAGGAAGAAGCCCCTTATAAAACCATCGGATCTCATGAGAACTCACTCACTCTCATGAGAACAGGATGGGGGGGAAAACCACGCCCATGTTCAATTACCTCTCACCGGGTCCCTCCCATGGCTCATAAGAATTATGGAATTCCAATTCCAGATGAGATTTGGGTGGGGACGCAAGGCCAAACCATATCATTCCCCAAGTTCTCCTGGTCCAAAGGCAAGGATATTTCCATAACATATCAGTGATCCTGTATATCACCATCTAATAGAGACCAGAGATTCCTTTTTTTTTTTTTTTAAGATGGGGTTTCACCATGATGGCCAGGCTGGTCTTGAACTCCTGACCTCAGGTGATCCACCCACCTCAGCCTCCCAAAGTGCTAGGATTATAGGCGTGAGCCACCAGAGATTCCTAAAATCTGGTTTCCAGACCAGCCCCAGCAGCCTCACCTGGAAGTTTGTTAGAAACACACACTGGGGCCTCACTGCAGACCTAGGCAGTCAGAAACTCCAGGAAGCTATCTGGCTTTTAAGAAGCGCTCCAGGGATTCTGATGCTTGCTCAAGTTTGAGATCCACTGATACAGGCGTTTCAATTAGGAATTCATTGAAATGGGTCCTGGAACAACTTACCTTGCCAACGCGCAGAACGGTAGCTAAGAACGGAGGCTTTGTTAGCAGATGGACCTGGTTTGAATCCCTGTCTCTGTCACTGTAAGCTGTGTGACTTGGGCAAGGCCTTTCCCCTCTGGAGTCTCAGTTTCCTCATCTGCTGTGGACAGTGGAAGAGGAGGAGGAAGAAGAGGGAAGGGAAGGAGGGAGAGAAAAAGAGGAGGAGGGGAAAGAGGAGAGGAGGAGAAGGAGAAAAAAGGCGGGGCCGAGTAGAGGAGAAGGGAGGGGGAGGAGGAGAAAAGGAGGAGGGGGTAAAAAGGAGGGAAAGGGAGGAGGGACACGAAAAGAGGAGGAAGAGGGAGAGAAAGAAAAGGGAGGGGGAGAGGCCGGGGGAGGAAGAGAAGAGGAGGAGGGAGTAATGAGGAAGAGGGAGATGAAAAGAGGAGGAGGAAGGAGGAATAGAGGAGGAGAAGAAAGGAGGGAAGAGGCGGGGCCAAGAGGAGGAGGGGGAGAGGGAGGAGGAGAGGAGGAGGGAGGGGTAAGGAGGAAGAGGGAAAGAGAGGAGGGAGGTAAAGAGAGGAGGAAGGAGGAGGGAAGAGGATAGGAGGAGGGAAGAGGAAGGAAGGGGAGGAGGAGGGGGTCAGGAAGAGGAAGGGGGAGGAGGAGAAAAAGAAGAGGGGAGGAAAGGGAGCTAAAGGAGAGGGGAGGAGGAGAAAGAGTTGGGGAGAAGGGGGAGTGTGGGAGGGAGAAGGAGGCCAGGAGGCAGTCTTTAAGGAAGATCAAGCACACGGGGACTGGGTAAATCCAGCCCAGCATGGACTCCTGGACATGGCTCTTCCTCCCCGGAGGTGGCTGTGGCTGCGGCAGGCCTCCCTCGGCCTCTGGCCTCCCAGCCAACCCCAGGCTCGAGTCTCGGCAGCCAGGAGCCACATCTGGCCGAGCAAGGACACTGGTCCCCCAGCCAGCTGGGCCCCTGGGCAGCTGGCAGAGGAGGCGGGAACCCACAGCCCCACTGGGTCAGTGAGGAAGGCGTGGGTGGGGCTGCCTGGCTCATGGCTCTCCACCTGGAGGCCGTGGCACAGTCTGAAGCCACCGGCCTTTGGCCACCCTTTTGAACAGGGCTGAACAGTTGGGCTTTTCTTTCTTAGAGCCAGGAGTGTTTGTTGGCGGTGGGGGGCGGGAGGGGTTGTTTTTGTTAAATAGGACTTTAAGGGCTGACCTGCCCACACGGGGACTTGAGAGAGAAGCAGTCTCCTCCAGCACCCTCAGAGAAACATCTCCCGGAAGCCCCACGTAACGCCAGGACGGAGGCTCAAGCTTCCCCCTGAGGTCCAGCTCGGGTTGGCCGGTTCTTGATTCCTGGAGCTCTGTGTTAAAGGGAATCAGAGGCCACATCCTGGCCGGGCTGGAAGGAGCACAGTGATCCATGAGCAGCGCCTGCCCTGGGCCTGGGGTGGGAGGAGTGTTGCCTTCCTCTCCCCATGCTGTCCTCCAGGCAAGTCTGTCCCATTGGCGCAGGACAGGCGGGTTCAGCAGGGGCTGGTTCCAGCCGCCCCACTCCCTCTCCCAGTGCTGGCTGTGCCTAGCGTAATGCGGCTTATATGTTCATTCCCAAGCCATCGGTAGCTCCTTCCGACAGATCTTCAGTGTTCACAGATTCCCAGCCCTCTACTCAAAGCGGAACAGTGTCCCCAGCCTCCCTGATCATCAGCGGCTAAACTAGGTTCACCAGAGAGGCTCCCAACCAAAGGAGGCCTCGAAGGTGCTTCCTGCCACAGGAAGGGTCCTCTCTGAGTCCAAACTCTGCCTACTTTGGACTTTCTTTAAGGTGTGGATAGGCTGCATGGGAATGAGAGCTCCTCTATTTCAGCCAAAAACAGGCTGTGTGGCTTTGGGCGAGTCATTTACCTTCTCTGGTTCATTCAGTGCTCATAGATGCTTACTGGACCCCATCTCTGTGGCAGGCACAGGCTGGTGAACAAGACAGCCATGCCCCATGTTCGGGAAGCTGGCCTGCTGGAGAATTCGTTTTAT